CTGCAGTGGAGTGCACACAAGAAGGGCTGGGAAGCCTCATATGATGCATTTACATGGATGTTACTGGTTATCTGCAGTGCTTTGTTATTTTTTTTCCACCAATGGGAGACTTGGGTTTCCTTGCATTGAGTGGGTAAAGGAATCAAGGATGTGATTTCTGCAGGGGAAACCTTATTTTTGGCAAAGGTGATTTCTAATGTGTGTGCATATGCATGTGCATTTTTTCCATAACTGACTACAGAGATGTGGAAGAATTAAAGGAAGTAGATTTAATTCAACCCAAGTAAATAACCTGAATTTGATCATGAAGATATGTTTGTTTCTTTGGATCAGTAGTAGCTATTAGATGAGCTTTAGTGTCCCTTGGCCTTAATTTTTCACATCTATAGAGCTCAGTAGGGATTGCCCACTTTTTCAGCATCCCCAGTCCTAAAAGTAAATTTCCCATGAATTCGATCATAGGAAAATAACGGGCCAAAAATAATGTCTAAAATCTCCTAAACTGTTAATTTGACGTCCTTTAAGTTATTAGGTAATTCAACATACTACAAACATAAGCCAGGAAAAGAGTAGGCAAGTACTGAATATTTGACATCACAAGTACTGAGGTGCATTGCTACGAGCAACAGAAGCTAGAAGGTAGATAGAAAATAACAACAAGTGAAAGAACATCAACAAGGATTAAAGTGACACACAGAAAACATGAGTAAATGGAGCACAAGTGAGGCAAATGTGGAAGAGTCTCTCTCTTCTGGAAGCTGTAGAAAACTAAAATAAGTAAAGCCATGTTCAGTAAAGCAGCTTTCTGTATTTCCATGTCTATCTCCCTTACAAGTCAAGTTTCCTATCTGAATGTGTTCCTGGCTCCACCTGAAAGGAAAACGCGCCGATCCAAACAGTCACTTTGCTCCAATCGAAGCCTCACCAACAGCGTCAATAAGAAGCCACAAAGACGCAAACTGGCAAGCTCATCCAAGGATCACATTGTGATTCACAAATGCGTGTCCATCTCTCCATCTCCGCAGCCAGACAGAAATAGTCCGTTTTGGCACTGCCATAGTTTTGCCTCTTTCCCTCTGCACTGTCTGTCCCTCCCTCCTCCCCTTTCATCTCAAAGCAGGAGGGAGTGGGGGGGGGGAACTGAAGTTATTGCATGTGACACACCCAGGAGAGAAAAAAGGGGGGAAAAATCGCATTACTTCACAAAGCTGAATGCCACAGGAGCAGAAAGAGATGTAGCTCTCCTGCTGCTTAATAACAGTGGAAATATTTAAAATAGGAGCAGCAGCAGCAACGGTGGAATATTTCTGAATCTATATTTAGATTGGGAGTGATGTGCCTCGCCCTCGCAGCCATGGCTCATGTGGGATTCACAGGGGAGACATGGAAATGCATCAGGGTGGAGATCAATCTAGCATGCTGCAGAGTAAAATGCAGAAAGATGTCTTTCCCCATGCACGAACACACACACACACACACAATCGGGCCAATATATCATATATTATCAAAACAAGTTCTGTCGTGTTCAAGCTGACGGCGGACGATCAAACTGAATCCTCCTGCATTTATTCCACAAGAACATTTCAAAGCATTGTAATCTCTAAATGAGGTAGGATTTACAGAGTGAGCTACAAAGTCAAATTCCTTTGTACAGCCTCTTTACAAGCCATCTATTTTTAGCTTCCGCTGCCATCACTACTCCAGCTGGATGCAAGAATATCATCTGCTATTCATTCATTCACTAACCAATAACCTGACTCCCGGGCTTGCTTTCACTCGCAGATTTCAAACATTATTACTTTCCAGGATCTTGTCACAGCAAATTGCATTGATTATTCGGCTCTACATCAGTTGGCTTTAATTACATTTACTTTGCATTGCTTCGCTAAGCATATATCTCCACGTGATTGCGACTAAATTACAATTAGCCAATGCCCCGTGCTCCTGGGAGAAAGACATAATGGTGGTTTCATGTAAATCAATGGCATGTGGGTGTTCATCTGCAAAAAATAATGAGGTACTGCAGAAGCTGGCTGAACAGTGTCACTGATAAACCTGAATTGATTTTCACTGGTATAGATTGCATAACACTGTTAGACATTATTTTTTTGGTAAGTAAAATAAAGAAAGAGCCTTAATCTGTCGCACAGCTTACAGCTTCAGTGGATATTTTACATGGGTGGAATTACATTTATTCTTATTTAGCACTATTCAAAACTTATACCACAAGTGACAATCCAATATGTTTCTTATTTTCTACTTCAATTTCTCCCTGAATTATAAGAAATCCATTTCCAAAGCCCATTAACACACTGAAGAAGCTTTAAATCTTAAAATAGGATCATTATGTTTATTTATATCCCTTAGTTGCTGTCACATTGATACCCTTTTACAGTCTAAGTTGTTCATTTTAAAAATGGACACCATTTCAAACAATCAGGTCAAGAGAATTCCAGTGAGCCAAAAACTTCTAAAACCAACATGCTTAAAATATGCAACGGGGGTTAGAGACCATGTCAATCTGACTCTGAGTCCTAAAACTAAAAACCCCTCCAATCAAAAACCAATAAAAGCCACACTTTCAACAGAGTGTTTGTGTCTGTGTTTGTGGGTGACACATATTTCTTAAATAAATCATACAAAATATACTTTGTACCAGAATCAGTTGTCTCTCCACTGAGCTTCTAATTACTTGGAAATACTCAAATGTTTGAAAAAAACAAAACCATACCAGGTACACACACTGAAAATCAAAAAATCAGACAATGTCCAAAAAAGCCCTTTAAAGGCCTCTGGAAAGCCTGAAAAATTACTGCTCTAGACTACTTTAAAAATGAAGAAAAAAAAGTGACTCCTTGGAAACAAAACATAAAGAAGAGAAGACTTTTGGACAGTACTGTAGGTATGGGCGAATCAGTATTGACACCAGCATTGGTAATCCAATTGGACTGAGGGGACCAACATTGTTATTTCAGCTTAGACATATCTGAAGTGAACATCTGAAGCCTCAGTAAACTACCAGCATAAAACAGTTTTCAGCCAGCTGCACGTTCTGGAGTGTCAGACCAGATCATGGAATACCAGCAGCTGCAGTCCGAGACTGTGGAGTTAGATCCTGCCACAGTAGAAAACTGATGAGTTCACCAGTGCTAAAATACAAGTGTGGGGATTGCCCAATTGTATATTGATCCCATCAGTGTCTCAAATGGAAGTAAATCTATATCTAATAATAACATAATAATAATATATATTTAAATACTTGGTGTCTAGTAATATATTTAGGAAGCCAGCCCAAATAAATGTTAAATATGTATATACTAAATTTTACTTATTTAGTTGTTTTTTTCCGTCAGTGATACAGCTAAACAATTTAATTCATATTCATGAATATGACCATGTATCTGTTCGGTTTGTATCTGTGAATATTTATGTTATATTCATTCACTGATGCAGGTATATATTATAATATATAAATGAACATATTTCAGCTGTTTACTTATCATTCTTTTGATTGGGTGCGCAGTGCAGTGCAGTGTTTTTTGTTTTTTTTTTACTTTATCAAAATCAGTGAGGTCGCATGAGGAAAAATATCAGAATCAGAATCAGAATCAGAAAGGGGTTTATTGCCAAATGTTGAGCAGGTTTACAACATTAGGAAATTGCTGCGGTGCTTCAGTGCAAACATAGTGTCATAAATAGCACTTAAATAGTGTCATAAATAGCACTTAAATAGACATGAAAAAATAAAAGTAGGAATAGGTAGGAATAAGTAGGAATCAAGCCACCCTTGCTCTAAATGGTCAGTTTTGTTTTATTTTATTCCTATATCGCTCTGGGATTAGCTCGTTTCCTTATATGGGCATTTCTGAGACGTGAAGGCGTGGCTTAGTTTTATTTGCAGAAGCCAGGCGAGGGGCTGCCAATTAGAAGATACTTTCAGGAGGTGAAGATTAAAGAGACAGGAGCCTGTTTTTTTTTTCAGACAGAGAATGAACTGCAGGACTGTATATACTAAAGATACAACAAATTTTAACTGTTAATTATGCAATGACGCTGCAGCAGATTCCAAGATTAGAAATATGGAGGTGGAGAAGAACACAGTAGGTCTTCTTTGAATGTATCTACTCAATTATTTGATTCCTTGTGTCTTGAAAGCAAAGCAATTAAATGTATGTGTGAAGCAAAGAAAAAAGAAAGAAAGAATTGATCTGTAGATTGATGGATTAATAGATCAATGAATCGGTTAAAGGGAGAGTGCAGCAGGGGTTGGGTGTGGCTGACGTAGCAGAAGCTCAAGTACTAAATAATGAATTTAAAAATAAAAATAAATCTTGAATTCAAGACACTATTAATGATAAGTTTAGTTCAGAACTAAAGAAACTGGATTAAATGATGGTAGTTTGTGTTAAGAATAAATATAAATAATAAAGTCTTAAAAAGGTTACAGTAAAAAGAAATTCTGTGTGCTGGTTTTAAATTAACACAATGCGTATGAAGCAGCGTGAGTGGCTGGTCAACAGATGGTAGTGTTGACAGGCTGCTGGGTTCATTGGCCAGCTCTGTGTACAGTTAGCAGGGGGTCACCAACAAGCCCTGGGATGTTAGTCTCTGCCAGTTCCGTTTTATCACATGCACACTTTGGCTGTGAAATCCCTGCTTATCACAGCTCCATTCAGCTGCCACCAAAAAAGCACCTGAACAGTGTGATTTATGAACTGGGGTTTGCACTGTCTGACAAGGCAAACAATCCCACTTTGTGCCGCTGCTGCAGATATGAAACTTTGTTCTCAGATATGTGATTTTGCTTTAGATGAATGAGCGACGGTGTGAAGTGAAGGTCGAGCTGAATGCCAGCCTTCAGTCAAGGAGAACATTTTTATTTTCAGCTCAAAGGAGCATGGCATGTAGATTATCAGCTAACACTTCAAAAAATGATTGCATGAAGAGATCCAAGGCTGCACGGCGACACATGCACAAGCTCACAAGAGTCTCAGGCTTACCGGAAAGTAGAGAAGCAGAGCCCCGCACAGGATGGCCTCCAGCAGGACAAGACCTGATGCTCTGATACTCTGTGGAAACACAAACACACAACAATTATTAAACTTCTGATTTATCGACCATTTAATATATAAGAAATCTGAGCACAAAATAGGAATAATATGTTTAGCCAACTGGTATCAAAGACATTGTATTCACAAGCTCAAGTTGTTCATCTTTTACTAGTACAGGGTGGTGGGACTAGTGGTGTTGTTGTAGCCCCAGGGAGATCAGTCAACACATCAAGCTATGATTATTTAACTTGAAATCTGTATAAAGCAGAGATGCAGAGAACCACAACAGCAGCCAAGTCCCGATTCTTTCAGTACCTGTGCCAAATACTCTCAGTCTGGTGACCAGAAAATATAGCAATAGCAAAATCAACTTGTAGCAGTGGACAGAGCAATATTAAACCATTAAACCATTAAACCAACCATTAAAGGATAAGGCAGCTCAGGAGAGACTGTGCTGGTGGAAAATTGTCGTTGGCTGATCCTCCAGGAAGGACCAAAGGCTTAACTAACTATTACTGAGGTTTTATTGGGGCCTTTTCACTGAAGAAAAATCCACCAAACAACCACATTTCAAAGCCATGCAATGGCCATAACACCAAAACAGTGATGTCAAAGAGACTCAAATGCTTCATAAAGAGCAATTGTAGTGTTGGGTGGTTTGTCACTATGACCAACTTCAATTACATTACAAACAGATTGCAGAAGAAAGTTTTTCAGTTTTTAATATAAAAACATAAATGGACAGCTTTAATTGTGATGTGTGTGTATCGTAAACAGAAATAAACCAAATAACATGTACAGAAATGCCCACTTTTTAAAAGATATAACAGAAACAGGGTATCATTTAGGCGATTCTGTAAGGCAAAAAGTTTTTATTCACATTAAAAATGTATCACACAGCATGTCAAAATACTCAAGGCTGATTTAAAGAGGATGGAGGTTTGTTCCTTGTTACTTGAAAGAGGAGAAGAGCAAAGCAAAAGCTCCTCCCTTAAGCACTTTTTATAGAAGCATCCACCATTTGCAGGCGCTTTGTGTGCACCTCTTGTGTAAGATATTTAGCAACATATCGTCCTCTAATTGACAAGGCGCTTGAGGGGGGCTTTCAGAGAGCAGAGGACAGCTGTGCCACCCATTTAAAAATACATGCAAAAGAAAGCAAAAGGGCTCTCTTGGTGCACCAGATAAACTTATTTAATTAAATTGCATGAATGTAATTGAAAAGTCTGCAAAGAACTTTGAAACAAAATCTTAAACTTAGTTTAATGACATTAATTGGAATTATATAAGTAGCCTTTAAATTATGACAAAGCCCTGGAGTACCTGAAACATCCATCTGCTTTAATAATGGGAATGATCCTTTGATGAACTCTAGCCGTTGTAATGGCAGAGTCCTCGGGTGTGGAAGACAGAGCAGCTAGAAGTTCCTTTGACAGGAATGTGGAGCATCTTCAGGCTAAACCTCAGATGTTTGATGCTCAATTCAAAGCTAGTAATTAAGACACTTAACTGACAGAAACAACGGGAGCAATGGGAGGCTGAAAAGTTCAGAGATTTAATTAGGTAGATGTTAAACTAAAGAAAAAATGTTTGAAATATTAACCATACAAAATCAAGTTTTGTGTCTTGACATAAATATATATTTATTTTTTTGTTCCAAAACACGAGACATTGTACGGTGTATTCAGGTAACACTGAACAGTGGGAGCAGTCGCAGTTTTCCCCATATGGTATCTCACTTTTTCTTATCCTGGAAAAGTACACAATACACACCCCGCCTCCTTCTGCTTTTTGTGGGAGTTTTTTCTTCCCACTGTCGCAGAAGGGTTACTTGATTGGGTTGTCTGACTGTTGAGGTTTTCTCTCTAACATTGTAGGGTCTCACACCTGAGTTGGCTCCTGTAGTGAAATGAAACTGAATCTCCTGTTTGTCTGCTACGGTTTGCAGATCCCAGCAAGTGTAGCATCCTGAGTATGTGTTGAGGTAGTTCTGTGTTTTGAGTCGCAAAGCTTTTGAATATTAGTATTAATATATAAAACACTCTGTTTCTAATGCATGTTTCATTTTCCGGCATATTAGAGCAGCGATGCTCAGACACCATCAACAAATTGAGTTGCTAGACTGATGAGGAATCTGTGTCATCAAAGTGCTGCTTAGTAAATGACTAAAATATAGTCTTGCTGATAACTAACAAATGTAACTCAATGCCCTCCACAGCATTCTGACGCTAGTCTAATTCTGGTACTTGAAAACTCCAGGACTGATTCCTGGAGGATCGATCTCTGTCTCTCTTCCACAGCATGTCTTTTATCCTGTTGTCCTTCTCTCACCCCAACTGGTCACGGCAGTTGGCCGACCCTCGCTGATCCTGGTTCTGCCGGTGGTTTCTTCCTGTTACAAGGGAGTTTTTCCTCCCCGCTGTCGCCAAAGTGCTTGCCCATAGGGAGTCATATGATTGTTGAGTTTTCTCTGTATGCATTATTGTAGGGTCTACCTTACAACATGAAGCGCCTTGAGGCGACTGTTGTTGTGATTTGGCGCTGGATAAATAAAATTGAATTGAATTGAGTTGAAAAGCCAAATCCCACTTTTAAAAAAGTAGTTACGTAGATCCAAGAAACAAAAGAATCACCAAAGAGATGCTACGAATTAGACTGAATTTGTAATTCGTGTAAGTAGTATGTACTACTTCATGTACGGAAAGTATAGACTTAGAGAGGGTTAGAGTCAGAGGTTACGGTTACATCACAATAACATGACAAAATGAATGAGCTCTTTTGATCAACCACAAAATTTGTATAGGTATCCTCACCCAGGCAAAAAAAAAAGGACAACCGTTGTATTTGAACCCAAACCACAATCTTTTTCTAAACTTAACAGAATAGTTTTTTAAGCCTTTAGGTCCATTTAAAATCTCAAACCTGACTAAGTCTCTAAATTCCTCCACTACCAGCACATCCAGCCTGTTTTCTTTTTTTTTTTCACTTTTTAGATAGAAATTGAGATCTAGAAAGGCGATACAGTAGATACAATGAGATAAAACTAGGAGGAGGATAATCCACTGTGGCGACCCCTAAAGGGAGCAGCTGAAAGTAGGTATGGGGCTTGTCAAATGAAAAAGCTCATTCAGGCAAAGAAAAACCAGACAAACACAAAAACAAAAATAAACGTGACTAATTCGCAAACTCATGCCATGCTCGAGTAAGAAACGAGTAAAATACAGTATTCTCCACGTTTGCTGATCATTCACTCTCTGTGACTGATTATAGGACCCCACCGTACCACAGGCAGCACTCTTGCATGAGCTAAATCTCAATCTTTACTTTGCATCACATCTTATATTCATACTCTTCTTTTTAAAGGTGCATGGTCTCAAGGTCATGTAAATAATGTAAAACTTAGTGAAGTTACTAAATTAAGCAGGGGATTTCAACCAGGTGTCATCATTCAAATATACATATAAACCACGCATCATAAGTAAAAGATTAAACAGATTGAATGGTGAGTGGTCTGATGTATGAATCAAAGTAAATGTGCTTTTGTGTTTGCAAACTTTGGTCATGATCCAAGGTGGTGATTTTGACTTGATCTGAAGTGTTCGATTCATTTGAAATCATTTCAAAGCTTTATTGTGACCACCCACATTTGGAACTACTGTTTATTAGTTCGAGTGGGCTTTGATGACCATATGGCCTATAAAACATCAAACATGTTGATGTGATGTTGCAATTGTGAATTAAATTAGTGTAGATCTCTCTTATCCACTGTTGAGTCACAAAACTTTAACTCTTCATGGCATTAATGACTACATTCTTGGTTTAAAACACATAAATATAATTATATTAAAGAAGAAGATGCCCTTTAATACCAATTCAAGATGACGTATCTGGAAAATCATTGTTTTATTATAACACCTACCTTATTCCTACGAAAGTGGTATATAAGGACCATGCTAATGAAGACGATCAGCATGCAGAGGCACTGGAAAGAGACCACAGCCATGCGAAGAGCGCCATCCTCTTGTACCACACAGGGGGTGTCATCTTTACAGTAGGCACAACCCTGCTGGCAAGGCAGGCAGTCACTGGAAGATCCCTCCTCTGTGTTGGGACTGCTATCTGCAGGTTTTCCCTTCCTCCCCATTCCTGTCAAAGAAAACATTGAAAAGAAGAAGTCCCAAAATCTTAAATACTCAAACAAACAAACACTAAATAAAAACTCTCACAGGCTGATTTCATATTTTTTGTGTGTTCCAGAACAATTATAGCTACATTTTTAATAATAATAAAAAATAAACAAACGGCCCGAAATACTGACACAATAACCCCACCAACAATTTTCTGCAACTGAAGTTCATTTAGGCTAAAGTAGCACATAAATTAGTGCATTTAATAAAAATTAAAAATACTAAAAAATATCTGAATTCAAGAGCATAATGTGCTGAATAAATACATCTCTGAAATATTAAATGCAATTCCAACAGCTAAAAGTCACGGATAAATATTTAATGGATAAAATGACAAATAATTTTAGCTTATTCAGTTGGCTAACAATAGAAATGAATTATGAAATATAATGAAGTAAACGTTGTACTCTTAGTTTATAAAGCAAAACAAAAGAAAGATCAACAGTTGAAAAATGCTAGAATTAATGGTGGGACTGATAAGTTGTTAACTTAAAATAAATGAGCTAGATGATAAACTGTCGTGCGAAAAAGAAAGTACGCACTCAAGTTTTAAGTTTTTACGTATCAGGACATAAAAAGAGATCATCTGGTCCTTAAGAGGTTCAAAAACTGGTTAAATATAACCTCAGATAAACAACAGGGCAACAATATTACACAATGTTAAAGAATATTTAACAAAAAAATGAATGTGTGAAAAAACTATGTACACCCTTCCTCCATCCATAGGAATCAAGAGGATAAATAGCATTTCTGCTAATCAGATGCAGATCATCGTAAACAAGTCTGAGCAGCTCTATAAAAGTAAAGAAGGCCATCATTGTACACTAAGAAAGATTATTCACAAGTGAAAAACATTCAAGACAGTTGCCATTTCTTACCAGGAGTGGACATTCAAGCAAATTCACCCCTAGATCAGACTGTGCAATGCTCAGAGAAACTCCAAAAACCCAAGAACTACAAAGCTTTGTCCAAATTTGTTCATGCAACATGACAATGATGAGCAAATCTACAACAGAACAGCTGGAAAAGAAATCAAGGTAATCCCGTGGCCTTAAGAGAGCTGTGCATAAACAAATGCCTTTAATAGAAATTATTTAATAGAAAACACATAACAAATAGAATACCCATGCGCTATAAAATAAATCAGAATATAAAAAAGTACATTTATTAATATGGTAACACAATCTGACAGAGTTAGTTAGCTAGAAACAGAACTAGAAAATCAGTTTGCCAGTTGGTTGAAATTTTTTGCTAAAATTGAATGAATGAATTTGAAACAATAATCAATAGTGTAGTTAAAATATTGGTTGATTGGTTTGATCGCTTTGTTATAGGTAAATATAAAGATAAAAGACTGTAACATCTACTTTCACTGAATTAGGTTTTACACAACTACCCTTGACCTGTAAATCTGTTTGATTTGTATATGTGTTTTTTTTTGTTTTTTTTTACTCAATAATTTGACATTCGACATCATATTTTGAAGAAGATAGGAACAGATGGTTCAGCAACTGTCATTTAAATTTTCCTTGTTATTGAATTTTCCTCCAGATCTGTCCAGATGAAGTGCGTCAGTGGCAGAGTGAATCCCGACTGTATATATACTCTTCTTCGTCTCTGACCTTACAAGAAGCCATCGACACTGTGTCAACAAAAGGGAGATGGATCTCTGTGTGTGAACATGGAAAGTCAACACTGCTCAACCCTGTTCAGTCACAGGCATATCATACAAGGCTGATGACTTCAGCTCCCTAATAAAAACACACACAAAGACTTTTTTTTTTTAAACTTTTTTGGTTTATCCTACCAGGACCAGAGAAGCTGTGAAATGTTTTTGAATGAAGCGTAGTATAAACTAACTATAACCACTTCAAAAGTAGCTGTTTTTTTATTTGCTCAAATACATTGGTCACATTGGGAAGCAGCAAAAACTTACACAAACTTAAGAAAAAAACTCTCTCTCAGGGTAAAGTAAGGTAAAAAAAACAAAAACGAAAAAAAAACTAAACAAACCCAGGGGGACAACAAGGAGGAAGTGGACTTGTTATTGGCTTGTATAGAAATCCCCTGAGAGATGCCCATGTGGTTGGATAGATAACACATTTTGGACTTATAGAGCTTTTATAGAGGCTTTATTGGAAGCAGGCATTGTCTCAGAGATTTGCAGGGATTTTGCCTTTAAAAAGAAACTGGCCTATTTTTCAAAGCTATGACTCGGCACATCATTGATTCCTTCAAAAGGAGTACTTATCTCGGTAGCACTGAGTCATTTCCTTTAGCTCATTCTCAGTGGTTTGTTGCTGCTACGTTTGAGTGACAGTCAAAGGAAACGCAGCTACAGTAACCTCTCTCCCATATTTATATGCAAGATACACAATGTAAGATCACTGTGAGACAAAGGGAAGAGAGTTGCACAGGCTTCCTCTGCAGGAGTGTCAGTGATGTCCCCTTGTGGATTAACAGGCTTGTTATTGGCCCCATGGTGGGCCAAACTGCAGCACAATGCCTCGCTAACAGGCTTGCTTTTCCTCTCTATTGCTGGGTTAACAAAGATGCACACACACTGAGCTTTCATGCAGATTTGAACACTTGCACATGCAAGTTTGTGTGCCTTCGCAGCACAGCAAACAACACAAATTGGCTAAATCAGACAGAACATATATTTAGCTCTCTGTGCACGAAGTGTGACGTTTTAGAGTAAAAAATGGATGCAATAAGATGGTGGAAAAATCTGAGTGAAGGAAGGTAAGGGGGAGGGAAATGGATGAGAATGGGAGTAAAATTGAAACAGACGCACGAGAACACGCTGTATGAGGTTTGAGTGGGATGAGGCAGGAGGGAAAGTGGATTGAAATGAAAGTATGGCACAGAAAGTGATGGAGGGCAGGTGAAAACCACTGGGGTTCTGTGTCTGCAAAAGCCTTTTTTAATTAACTCACAGCAGACAGAATAAACTGGAGAAAGTCGCTACCATTAAAAAGATATTTCCCTTCTCGAACCAGATTAGCCTCCCCAGGTACTGGGGCTACTTCAATTTTCAGACAGGGCGGATACGGTTATCGCAAATAGCTGACGGTCTTCGTCATAAAGTGCAGCTTTTAGCAGAGTCAGAATTAATAAAATGAACTTATTGTTAATTCATCTGCTCTATTTTAGTGAGAGAAAAAAGGATGATTATGTGGAAACATTTTAAAATTTCCAAACATTTGCTGCCCAACTGCTTGAAAAATCTGATGCTAAATAATAGTTTTTTACCTTTGTGTCTCCTGTGCTTTTTACTTCCTGTTCCGCTAATTACCCGCTTGAATTACCCCACCTTAGCTGTTTCCACCTGTGCTCTGTTCTCACCTGCCTCTCATTGTGCAATCAGTCCTGTGTGTCTACATGTAATCCTCCCTTCACCTTCATCAAGACGTCAGTTTTCCCCCCATGTTTTACTGGTTCTTAGTGTCTGGATACGCCCTGTTTAGTCCAGTGACTGCAGTGGACATTGTTTTTTTCAGATTTTTGCCAATTAAGGCACTTCTTTTTCATTGTTATTCCACCAAACTCTACATTCTGCACTCAGCTCTTCTCTTCACCTCAGTCCAGGACAAAGGTTTTAACTGTGGACGTTGCAAATCAAAAAGTATGATAAACACAACTTACCAGTCCTTCAGTTTACTCACATTTGTCAGATCTTTCAGCCACGTTTCATGGACTGCTGTGGCGTTTAGTCAGTAAGAAAATTTCCAGACAATTTCCAGAAAATATTAAATGCCATCAAACATTTTGATATGCACAGAAGTAACTAATATATTTAACAAAGGTGAATTAAAGCCAGGGTATAATTGGGCACATACTGGCTATAATGTACGCACTTCCACCTGTGATTTCCCTGCTTTAAGTCGTAGGGTTGTTCATTGTTAGCATGTTTAGCAACACTTAAACGCAGCCACATGAATAAAGTCTGCATACAAGGAACAATCATCTTACAGTGACTGATTTGCCATTACTTACTTGTAAAACCATTGACAGCTATTCTGTTGGGATGATAGAAACCTTTCCTGCAGTGGCACTTGTACTTGTCCAAGACAAATCCGTGACCACGGATCGGCAAACACTGAGAAGAGAAGACCAGAGACAAAAATGAGTGCAGTTTAAGCTAGAATAGGTTTTTACAATCAACAGCGTTTAATCGTGACATCTTGTAATGCAGACACAGATGTGAAAACTATTAAAATATGTCAATACCAAAGCAAAAAGTAAAGCCCGCAAACCACATTCAGCAAACAGACTGAGATCAAGTGCCTTGCGGGAGGGACACGGGTCTAATTATTTAAGTTGTGAGATTCCTCTTTCTGTCTAACTGTGCCTCCTCGTCTCTCCATATTAAATTAGTAAAGCCTCTTCCATTTGATTGAACGTGTGATAGGAAGTAGACTGAGAAGAGCAGAGAAAAACACGAGGGGCGTCAGGGGGCACCCTTGGCAGACTTTGTGTGCTGTTTGCCAAATTACAAGACATAATTAATAGCTAAATTAAGAACAGACTTATTTGCCTGATTAGAGAATCGCCATTAATTCTATTTCTTGTGGGAATGAGATTTCATCATCATATCCCCAGTACAAACACATTTTCCCCTCTCATTCTTGCTCTCCTTCAAAAACTCCTTTACTGGTTTTTTTATTTTTTTTCTCCACACAACGTGAACATGTTTTTCTAAACCAAGACGATAATGATTTATGAATCCAAAGAAACGACAAGAGGCCCAGAATAGCAACGGTACTTTAGCTGACACTTGACACGCTATGAAGTGTTTGTGACCTGACTGAGAGATCTAGAGGAAAGGCCGGTGGCAACGTCAAAATGAAGCAACAGTCACTGTGATGCTCTTCACAGCGGACTGGACTCGGCATGTCTTGAGAGGCTGCTATTTCTGACTGTCTCTCAAGGTCCTTGGTGAGGGCTGAATGCATTTTTCAGTCCGAGAGTGTGCGCTCCTCAGTCGAAGCCTTGAGAGGCCAGCCAGGACTCAAAAGCCCAAGGTAATTACCAGGTTACTATTCAGTGGACAACTTCCTCAAGTAAATTCCACTGAAGAGGCCAAAGTATATGAAGTGACTCTTCACTAATCTGTCGAAGACGACTTGTCGTTTTAGTGGTGAGACCCTAGAAAGACCCTCAATCTGACACCCGTGAATCTGATTTTCCTCACCACTGTACTCAAACACTATATAATACCCACACGGCTCGTAACGAAGTAGATGCTTATTTCAAGACATACCCTCTATGTCACGTATCTGTCAAGTATTGGCGGAGAGACGACCCAAATGCAGGTAAAAATCATTAGAGAGCATGTCTTTATCGGCTAGAAAAACACACGGTCCGAAAGAGAAACCAAAACAGAATCACTGGGTGCTGTCTAGTATTTATAAAATGTCCTCCCACTTCCTTTACCCAAATCCATTTACCTGGAAAATGTCAAGAAATGTATAAAGTTATATGCACATAGCATTATATTTTAGTATATTATAGTATATTTATATTTTAGAATCCGTAACAACATGGCGACAAATCTCATCTGTGTTGCAGCATCAACAGAAAATGCACACCCTGCGTGATCTCACTTTGTTGTTTGAGCCAGGCCATATAAACAAGAACCACCAGTGAAAAACGTCAATTTATCCCAACAGCTGGAATTTTAAAGGAAAAGGAAGACGTGCTTGGATGAGGAAATCAATTAAAGGCAATCCCAAAGACTAAAAATACAATGACAACCTGAATCTTCAAAGATGACAACAATCTGTTTTGATAAGAAGCAGAGTTATTCACAGGAGCCTAATGTTCATAGTTCAGCGACTTGTTGAAGGTTTATTATGGCTGCCAAACAGTTAGGAACCTTTCTGGGCACATTTGACTGTTTGAAACAAAAATGAAACATAAGCAAAAGCAGACAATCAGAAAGGAGGGAAAAGAACAAAAGCAGGAAATAAAAGAGCTGAGAAACCAAACCTTCAAAGTAAAACAGGAAGTAACCAAAAGATAACTAATTAACCGCAAGGCATCACGACAGATAAAGGGGAAGGCAGAAAGCAGAAAATAACACTCGAGACAACCGAACACTAACAGAACCGCTGACATTTTGTTATATATTTTATGCTATTAGTGTCACATGCTTTGAATATATTCCCCCATCATGCTTTTTTAAGCGCTCTTCCACCAGTCATGTTCATGGGGAATAAAAAAGCCCAGAGTTTTTCTTTAAAATAAGTTTTACAGTAGCTTCTATTAATTTTTGTTTACGCACAGACTGTGTATTGAAGGGTGTAGCCACAGTGATATGATTCACTGGTTTGTGAAGCCCCATCTGGAAGCCTTAAACTAAGTATTAAACACTCTGTTTTGAAAACAGACATATGAAGCTAGAGCTGACTGTCAAACTACAGTTTGACACTGCATGCTCATACCGTAGCAACTTCTCATTCAGAAAGTAGCCATGCCCGAAAGCATTCCCTGCTGCTGTCATCTGGTTCTCTCTGAAGAGCAACGTTAGTTACCCAATAAACATCATGTTATATTTAGTAAGATTTGAAACTAGTGACCACAAAGAAAATAGACCAAATGTTCACTAGCAAAGTGTTTAGTGTGGCTATAGAAAAAGTGACCATCAGTCTTTATGTAGCCAGAGAAGTTGCCCCCAGCTGGTCAGCAACAATAGAGGTGCGACTCCTTAGCCATCCTTTATATACAGTCTGTGGGTTTGTTGTTATACTGTTGACTAAAGGATATTTTAAACCTCACTAGAAATAAATTATTTTATAGTGAAAGGCAGGTATATTTTGTAAAATTTAGTTACAGTGAAGATCACACAGAATTATCACCCAACCTGCACAGCATTTTAGCATCTTTAGCTCAGTGTGGTTGTTTAGTGAGAAGTTCTAGAGGTCCATCTGTGCAGCTCCAAAGAGTGTATGAACAGAGTTAGTGACTTGTTGTGTTTCACGTAAAGAGTGCTGCAGGAGCTTATGAATCAATTTTGGAGTTAAGTACATCAGGTCTGACTCAGAGAAGTGACTCCAAATAAAGGCTTATGCTGCTAAAAGCATAGGTGAGCAATAACACACTTGAATGGTGATGATGTATGAGTAATTATCTTAATATGCCACTCCATTATCTTGCAAACTTGTTAACTTGTAATAACATATGCAAACAAGAGCACAGATACTCTAGAGAACAATGAGGGAGAAGAATATAGTTCATTATTATAAAAGTCTTACAGACGCAGAATTTGATTACTTTCTTTTGTAAAACTGTATTTTACTGATACCTTGTTTTGTACTTAATAAAATGGAGGCTTATGCAGCTTATGGACCTGATTTTTCTTTGCTTATTATTGGCTTGAAATGACAGCCAGAGGTAACTGCAAACTGCCAAGTCACTCAAAACCAGAGACTCAGATTGGACATTGATGAGTAAAATGAATGAGCGCATAAATAAGGTGCTTAGGAAGCTGTTTGGATTTCACTGGATAGTTTAAGCTCCGCACTGTCTAGAGACCACAAAAAATCACAGAAATGAATCTGTAAAGCAGATGATTCGCCATATTGGCGAGTTGTCCATCTTTCATCTGAATCCACCTGCTCTTGCTTTAAATGAGGACTGTGGAACAACAAAAAGTCTGGTAACTGATTTCCCCACTGATTCTCCAAAAGTCACTACCTCAGGACAGGTTCATCGTGCTACAGCTACTGCCTGCCACTGTTAATATTCCCACCTGATGGAGACACTAGGAGAAACTGTCAGAGACAGGTGTGTGTGTGTGTGTGTGTGTGCCAGCATGCATATTTTTAGTGTGTGTGACAGGGGGAGCCAGGAATAGCCCTGGCAGTACATCCCATTCCTGCCTGCTGTGGTGACTGATGCAGGGGCTCAGATGTGGAGTTTGTTGAAGGGAGAAGCAGTCCACCTCTGAGCTACCTGCCATCAATCACATGTGATCTCAGGCAGAAGACTGGTACATTTCAAAGGACTGTAAAATGCAAAGCCACAAGAAATCTTTCATCTTAAAAAAACAAGATAATATTCTTAGAAAATTAGTCATAAAACAGTAATTGTATCTTTTACATTGTTTTATGAACCATATTGACAATAGGTACAACTGTTCCTCTGCTCGTTAATCCAAAGATCTAATCAGCCAATAGCACGGCAGCAAGTCAGTGCAATTAGGCATGTAGACATAGTTAGGATGTCTTACTGAATGTCAAACTGAGCATCAGGATGCAGCAGAAAGGTAATTTAAATGACTTTTAAACAGCATTTCAGAAACTGCTTATTTGCCGGGATTTTCCAACACAACCAACTTCAGGGTTTAAGGAGAAAATATCCAGTGAGCAGCAGGTCTCTGAGCTAAAATGTGTTATCAGTCAAGGTCAGAGTAGAATAGCTAGACTTCATCAAGCTGAAATAACCACTCGTTGCAAACCAAGGTTTGCAGAAGAGCATCTCTGAATAACCCATTTAAAGCTGAAGCAGATGGACCACAAGCAGCAGAAGACCACACTGGGTGTCACTCTCTGCACAACCTAAGCCCAAAACTGGACTCTCTGATGAGCTGATGACCATGCCACACATGTCACACTGTACTCAAATGGCCTTCACGGTCACCAGATCTGAATCCAGTAGAGGATTTTTGGGATGTGGTGGAACAGGAGATTCGCATTATCACATGCAGCCAAAAAATCTGCAGCTACTGTGTGAAGCTTTGATCTCAATATTGACCTAAATCTCTGAGGAATGTTTCCAGCACCTTGTTGAATCTATCCAATGAAGAATCAAGACTGGAGGGGTTCAATCTGGTACCAACAAAGCAGCTGTGCAGCAAGATGCAGTAAACACTTTAGGTTTGCAAATAATGATGAATATTGTAAAATATTAACATGGGGCTATAATTCTTTCCCTTATATACACTGTTACAATGGTGGATGCTCACATAGAGTAAAGTCATCCTTATGAGTAAAACTGAAAATGAGTGAAAATGAACACATCTTTCAAAATGTTTTATGGAGATGTGCACAATTCTAAGTTACCAAGAATATGACTTTTAGCAAGAAACAATTACCT